AGTTGCTTTATAGAAAAGTAACGACAAAAAACCCAGTAACAACAACAACAAAAAAAGACGCAGCAGGATCCGAAGAAGACGTTAACGCCGTTTACTCCCCTGCCTCCCCTCCCTCCTTTTCTAGTCTCTACCCCTCTAGGCCAGGGCAGAGTCAATCAGCTCGGAGGAGTGTTTATCAATGGCAGGCCTTTACCCAACCATATCCGGCACAAGATAGTGGAGATGGCCCACCATGGCATAAGGCCCTGTGTCATCTCCCGCCAGCTGCGAGTGTCCCACGGCTGCGTCTCCAAAATTCTCTGCAGGTACCAGGAGACGGGCTCCATCCGGCCGGGGGCCATCGGCGGCAGCAAGCCCAAGGTGAGCCCCTCCTGCCCGCCCGGAGCCGGGCAAACCCCGGCCGCGGTGGAGGGGAGCGAGGCCCGACTGGGTCACGGCCCAGACTGGCCGGCACTGGGGTTTGCAGGCGGGACGGCAGCACCCGGGAGGGCCGGGGGTGGGCGTAGACACGCATGGGGCACAGCACCCTTGCCGTGTCCCTGCCTGTTGCTCACAAACTTTCCGAGGTTTTACAAAATATCGTTGGAGTTAGCGGAAATTAGATACTTTAATTAAGAAAACTCTATTGAAAAACAAATTTCAAACGAAACTAGGGCGAAAAGGGTGTTATTTTGAGCGCTTGGCTGCCCAAAGCCCCGCATGCCCTACACTCATCCCCGCAGGACCACTGGAGGGCTCGGCGCTGCGGGACGGACCGGGACGCGATCGGTCCGGTGAAGGGCTGGCACAGCGCGGCGGGATCGGGCCCTTCCTGCTTTCGGTGCAAAGCTCAACAAAACGACCTGTATTTCTGCCTGTCTCCCTACCGCTCCTTCTCTTGCTCTGTTTACTTTTTCTCCCCGCTCTGAAGCTGCGTGTATTTATAGCCACACCGCCGAAAAGTTTGTGCTCGCAATAATGCAGACGAATTCTTGTCCCAAGATTAGCCTTCTCCTCTAGCTTTTCATTCCCATTAAAGAAAAGTAAAGGCTTATGTTTCTGTTGGAAATTGTTGCTAGATTTTTCCCCCTTTGTTTCTTCTAAAGTAGTAATGCCCGAACTTTTCCTTTCGGTGTTGGCAGTAGATGTAATTTTTTATAAGCGTGTTATCCGAACATAAGGTTGTTCCCAGACCGTAGACCGTTCTTTTGTTTGATTTTAGCTTTATCTTAAAACCACGAGGCCACCGAAGGAACCTTTCGGTACTCGAACCTCTCCGAATTTTTTATTATGCTGGTTTTTTGTTCGGCGCTGCAACCTTTGTTGAGCCGAAACTTTACTAACCTGGGGCTTCGCTGCCCGAAGTCCTCTGCTTTTTTACCCGGGACTTTCAGCTCGGACGCACGGCAGCCAGTGCTGCCTAATTCGGGGTTTTCCTTGCCGAGGGCTCGGTCCCACCTTCCCAGTAGCCCCGGAAGACTTCCTGCGACGTTTCGTTTAACGCGGGGACTGCTTGTCTTATGCGGGCCCGTTATTACCTTCTGTGTCCCCTCTGATTTTACCCTGCCCGTCCTCGGGTGTTTTATAACGGGGTTTCTAAGCGGGGCCGGTGTCGGCTTTCGCTGGCGGTGGCGCGGGAGGCCCCGGCCGCACCGGGGGTCCCGGCGGGGCACACCGGGCTCCCCCGACCGCCTCTGGCCCTACAGACTGTGCCCGCTCGCCTTGTCTTTACTGAAGCAGGTGACGACTCCGGATGTTGAGAAGAAAATCGAGGAATACAAGCGGGAAAACGCGGGCAATGTTCAGCTGGGAGATCCGGAGACAAGCTGCCTGACGGACGGGGTGTGTGACCGCAACAGGTGCCGTCAGGTACGGGCGGGGGCTCGGCCGCGTCCCGGAGGGTCGGGGGCCAGCGCCGGGGGTGGGGGGCAGCCCGATAACCCGTGTGAACCCGACTCCCCGGGTATCGGAGCCCGGGCCGGGCCAGTGCCCGACGAGCGGCTGGCATGTCCTGGGAGGATTCCCGTGCTCGACGGGGTGTTTTCAATTAAATTGTAATTTCATTCTCCTCCCCTCCTCCTCCTGACGCTTCCCCGCCGTCCCCGCCGGGCTGCTGCCGCAGGAGGGCTTGTGTCTTGCCGGAGTCCGGGAGCTGGGAAGTAGGAGATGGGGAACAGCTCCCTGTGCCGGTGGATTACTTGTGGGATGGGGCGGGGGGGCACATGGAGCCGAAACAGTATTTGTGCGGGTGTCCGCGACCTTTTCTTATCATCCACCACCCGGGCTCGGGAAAAAAAAAAAAGATACTTGAGAGCCGTTGTGCCTCCCTGGAAGCCGGTGCGGGACGATGCTGCCTGAAACCTCGCGGGAGGGGAGGCGGTCGCTGCCTCCCCAATGCCCCACCCTGATGGCGCTGCGGGGCCGGGAGTGGCTCTGCACTTGGGGGCTCCGCTCGACCGCTGCGGGGGGGGCTTCTGGGGACGAGCCGCTCACAGCTCTGCACTCCCTCCCGAAGTGAGCTCCATCAGCCGCATCCTGCGGAGTAAGTTCGGGAAAGGCGAGGAAGAGGAGGCTGAACTGGAAAGGAAGGAGGTGGAGGACGGAGACAAGAAGGCCAAGCACAGCATTGATGGCATCCTCAGTGAAAGAGGTAAAGTCCCATTTCCCCTGCTCTCCGTAGGGTCCTGGGATGGGGTAGTACCAGTCCCAGATGCTGGTCGGTATCATTCCCCTTCTCTCGGAGGTTGTCCGGGGGCCAGTGCAGCGGGAGGTGTAGGGCGAGGGGCTTGCCCTAATGGCATGGCTACCACGTCCCGTCGCATCCCCGCTGGAATGACCCGACAGTGTGCGGTAATGGCGCGGAGGTGGGAACGAAGATGGGAGTCAGTGCGAGCTTGGCTTTCAGTAACCAGGGAGCAGGGAGCGTTGGAGCCACCACAGAGCTCTCCAGTCGCAGCCATGCAGGGGCTCCTTTCCCAAACCAAGGAAAAGGCTGCATAGAAGTGGCAGTTGTAGCCAAAGACTGCGGAGCCTCGAGTCTCTACAGTCGTGAACAGGGCAGGGAGCCGCACGTTTTGTTTTTTCTGCTGCTAAAACTGCTGGGAAGAGCATGTGTTGGTGCTTGGCCAGGGGCTGTGAGGAGGTTGCAACCTGAACAAGGCGGAGGTGAAGGGCTGCTCCGGGGGGACAGCTGCTGCCCCCGCCGCGGCCATGCCCAGCTCCTGGCTGGGCCAGGGTGCAGGGGCAGGGCAGGGCCCGGCCGGCGGCCTCTGTGTGGAAGTCGCTGCCCAGCACATGCACAGGCGCTGGAGAAGGCGAGACAAAAGTACCAAATGAGCTGGTCAAACATTTGTACAACTTTTCCAGCTTTTACAAAGAAGGCCTTCTATACACAATCTACACTTGGAGATGAACTTGGAAAACAAAGAGGGGGGAGTCCATTGAAACTCACACTTTGGCTTTGCACAGACAAAGCTTCAGCTAGCAGCAGCTTGATGTGAACAAAAGAAGGCAACCTTTTTATAATTCAAGGAGAAAAGAAGAGAAAACAGCCCCACAAAAGGCTGAGAAAAGACATTATGGGCTTGCAATGAGGGATGAATTATTCAATGAGCCCCTAATAGCTGATGCTCCACGCAGTTTTATGGACTCTCCATCGTGGAAAAAAATAGCTCTTTTTAGGCAGAAAGTGTTTCTAGCATTTCTAGGCATCTGAGATGCTGGTGCCATCCAAGGACAACTGGAACCCATTCTTTAACAGTAGGAAATGTCCTTGGTTTTTAGAAACAAACCCCTAAACTCTCCCAAAATATAGTTTTCAACTCTGTTATTAAAATTCTTAAGAAACTTCATCTTCTGTGTGTCTGTGTTTGCGTGGATATGTGTAATACAAACACGCAGAAGATGAAAACTAAATATGAGATTTTTAAGGCCAGAAGACATGATTTGATTGCCTGGTCTAGTTGCCCCCACAGAATAGGTTCAGTTTCCTCCAGTGTCTCCTTCAACAGAGGATTGCTCCAAGGGGGATGTGCATCAAGGGAAAAATAGCTAAATTCAGTGTCCTACTTGTTAGATAACTGGTTTTGCTGCCTTCCTGAATTTCTTGATAGAGATTAGAAATAGAAGATAGTGAGCTTTGATAATATTATTACTTTATGGAACAAAGAGTAATTAATAGAGACAACAAGAGAAAAAATTTTGTTATCAATATAACCCATCCCTGTTTGTCTTTGAAACAATCTTCCTCTTCTTTGACTCTCTGCACTTTAAAGGGGGGCTCCTGATCTATTATATATGGGTGCATGGCTGCTTCCTGCCAGCCCAATGGAATCCCAAAATTTTTTCTTGCAGGAAAGTCAGTGATACCTTGCTGTGAACAGGGGCTCACTCTTGCCTCCCAGTTGTACAAGAAGGCTGCATTCTGTCCCTGAATGTATCTTCTCCTTCACTCTCTGTGGATGTGAATGTCTTACTTTGCCTCTTTTGAGTTTGATCAGTAGCAAATTTCCCTTGATTAAAAGGGGTAGTGTAGCCCTACCCTGCCCTGGGCAAGCAGGTTTTTTCTGCATGAACGTGACCGGACAGTTCCGTGGAAACAGCAGCTTTGATAATCCTGTCTGTTCTGTGACGGTTCCTGGGAAGGTTTGGCAGTTGGAGGGAGAGCGTGCTCTTTCCCACAGCAATGCTTACTCCCCCTCCCTGACTAGCAAGCTGTTGCTTAATCTCATTACTGCAGTGGCCAGGATGCTGCTCCAGAAAGGATGTATTGCCATACTTGTGCCTTACATGTATTGTAATACCATAGGGACAACACACTAGTGAGATCATTACATGAAAAAAATAACCATAAAAGAAGTCTGCCACTACTTTCTGTATCCAATCAACAAAAAAAGGTTCTGCTTCAATGCCCACTGCCAGCTGAGAAGCTTCAATTTCACCCCATCTATAAAAATAATCCTGCCCTCTTATTGAAATACCTGGCAGTGCTCCTAAGGATTTTGATGCTGCAGGATCATATTTGCCAGTGCCCACTAGCCTGGCTATGAGGCCTGGTGTGGCTGAGGGTGCCCGCTGGCAGTGCATCTCAGATGCCCTTTCCAATAGTCGGGTTGCTTGCAGTGTTTCCAAAGGTTATCCACGGGCTGTGCAGCAAAACCCTCGTGTGGTAGCTCAGCACTGAGTGCTCCACATTTCGGAGGGAGAAAAGTGTGAATCTTTTGCAGTATGTGGAATTTTTATAGCTCTGGTCTCAGGAGCTTGAGGTATCCCAGAGCATAGGTGCAAGGGAAGGCTGTGGGATAGATCAGAAAGCAAGTCCTGAGGCTGAGCACAGAGCAAAGTATTGCTCTTCTGCTCAGGAGCACACATAAGTACTGGATGTTTGCTGACACTGCCTGAAATCCCCTCCTCACCATGGACTTTTGGGTGCCTTAAGGAGTGGCATTTTTTCTGAGGGCAGGGATAACAATTGTCATTTTAATGGTAGCTAATTCAAGATTTAGAGAGCACTTACAGCAGAGTGGGATTAGGGAATATAGAAACATGATATTTTTGAAAAATGTGTGATAGAAACAGTATATTGTGTGACTTGGGATTTTTCCCACCACATATATAAGTGTAGGTAAACTTTGGTATGCCCCGTGTGATTCTGTTCCAGCCTCTTTGCAGACACTTAAATATGATTCTCTCACCGGGGTTTACAGATGCCACACGTGCAGCCCTGTACGTGCTGTATTTCAGCATTTCTGTTTGCATCACCCTCAACCCTGATTTTGAGTATATATTTAAAGAAAACCTTGACTGTCATAATGTGTATGTATCAGGAAGCTGGTAGTTCTACAATAGCACATCTGTATTTCTGCATGCGTGATAATTTTCTCTTAAAGGCACAAGCCATAAATAAAGAACATGAGAGAGAAAGTTTTGTGCCTTTATATGGCACATCAGGGCTTATTTTTAGCATAACCGCTACAGAAGAGGGAGTCACTTGTACCTTTGGTGGGAGTTACGTGTGGTTTGGTTTGCTGACTAATCTGATAACTCCCCCCTTCATAAAATAGCTGTTGTTTTCTGGCAGAAAACAGTGGCTTTCAGCACTCCAGTGGTGGGGTGTGGAGCTGGTCCTCGGGCCGCTGTGAGCGGGCTGGGGCTGGGGCTGGGGCCGGGGCCGGGACCCCCCCGCCTGGCCTCAAAGGGGGCCTCTGTTCCCAGCCAGCGGAATTGGCCCCCGGGCCCTGTCCTGGCGGATCCTCCCCCAGTCATGCGCACCCGTCCAAAAAGGGCCCTACTCATCCCAAGCCTCTACCCTTGGCTGTACTGAGAGCAATTCAGGCTACAGCAGACTAAATTGCCTCCTTTATTTTCTTCTTACTTTCATCTTGGACCAAACCCTTCCCCCCTCTCCCTCCCCTTCCTCTTTTCTTTTTTTCTGTGTGCCTGAGGCTCACATTAATACAATTTCAGCACCACCCCTATTTTAGTGTGTGTATGTGGGGAGTTTGAAGGGGGAGAAAGAAAAAGGACCTTAGCACAAAAGCCCTGCTCAGCAGCTCGAAAGTTCAAGCTGCTGCTGCCTCTCTAGCTGTGTGATGCTTTTCCTGTTTGTGAGTTTTGGGAAACATTTTTGCTTTGTACTGTAATGGAATTAGAGGACAGATGCTGACTGTAAATGGGACACGCGACTACCAGCCCCTAGCTTAAATATTTAGATGCAATGTTACAATTACTGACTTGATGCACAGGCTTTGAAGTGGTGGCACACGATCTAAAGGGTATCTCAGGCTAGATGGGCTGGCAGATGTTTTGATTAGAATTGGTCACTATCATGCAGCCAGTTATTTTTAGATTGCTAAACTAATAAAGGCAGTTTATTAAGGGAGGGGATTAACATGCAGGCACCAGATATCAGTTTGAGTCATCCCATTCATTTCTGTATCGTAGACTGTTGGGTTAGTGGCTGGAGCTTGGGACAAGGCAGATCCCGAGTTAGATTTTGCTAGTGATTTTCTAACGCAGGGCTTGTCCTGATTTTGCTACAGTGTCCTGTCCCAGGGCACAGTGGTGAGAGGACTTACGTGCTGTGTGCAATGCTGTTGTGGGCTGAGAAGCACAGTGTGTTCCCCTGCTCAGTGTTCCCGGTAAAGATTCACTTATTGAATGAAATATGATGACTGTGGCTGCAGGCAATTATCTTCTTGAGTCTGGAATTTCATACAGTACTTTATATATTTGGTCACTAGCAGGTCTAAGAAATCAACTCGTGTAACTTGAACAGTGTTGTTTCTGAGGCTCTCAGAGCTGACAAGAAAATAGTGCTTAATTAAGAAAAATTCCTTAGTGAGTCCAGTATTTGGCTCAAGGCAAATATTGCCAACAATATTTTCTGTCTTTTCCCCTTTTCTTTCCTCATATTTTACTAGTCTGGGTAGAGAAGCCAGGTGTGGCACAAGCGTAAATCGATGTAGGTGATGCCACACAATCCCAGGACAGCTTTGTTTCTTTTGCCTGACCCATCATCACTGCGGGGCTCTGGGCCAGGCTTCTGCTTCCAAATACTTTTTCTAAGCTAATAATAGTAGTAACTGATGACCTCAGTGATCAATAATGACCTCACCATCAAGCGTGATGTCCCAGCATGCTGAGCATTTT